GCATCACTGAGTCAGTCAATAAACCTGAGTTTCAGACTCCGGGAGTTGGTGATGGACAGGGAGGCCTGGTGGGCTGCAGTCCATGGGGTCACAAAGAGTCAGACACGACTGAGGGACTGAACTGAACTGATAGATAATCGTTACCTGGGGGTTGGTGTTTCTTGTGCTTGTTCGTCATCTTCATGTTCATCGATTTCTTCAAACAAAATCAGAAATACCCAGTCAGCTTTTAGTCCCTTCACCCACTACAGACACAGGGACTCATGTGGTCACAGAGTCATAAATATCTATGTGTGAGTTAGTACTGTACGGGACTTTTCATGCATTGTCTTTAAACAACTGCCCAAGCATGGATTTCTGATCCAACAGGCAGTCTAATCTGTTCCTAAACTGGTAGATCATCCTCAGGACACCGTCTGCTTGAAATTGGGCAAACATTTAAATTGCCTTTTCTTCCTTATATCACCTCACATTGTCCACCTCCCATCTCCACTTCTACAAATGTATCATCCATCCTGCCACAAATTCTGCCAAAGACACAGGCTCCATAAAGCTTTTCAGGTCTCACAAGATGCCCTTCTTTCTCTAAGGAGAATAACCATGTCCCACATCCCTCCATCTGGGAACATCCTGGCTCTTCAACGTAGCTTTTGTGTGTTATCTGGGAAACTCTCCATGGAAAGTGAGTGCTCCAATTTAAACCATTTTCCCAACACCAAGTCCAACTCTATCAAGTACCTTATCCAACACCACAAAGTGAAGGGTTTTCTCTTTTCTGCAGTGTATTTGTAAATATTCCCAAATTTCATCACTAGAGCTACCATCAACAGATTATTTCATCCAATTTACAGATGAGAACAGTTACTAACATAAGGAAAAGCAATCATTCTCACACAGTTATCAACACAGCACTCAGCCTGGAACCTGGGAACTTCCAAGCTTCATCGAGGGCTCTATTCACTCTACCAAGCTACCTGTCACCTCCTCCTTTCTGCGTTTCAATGCTGGCTGGATGTTGCCTCCTGCCCCAGTGGCCATGGTCCATCAGGGAGGAAGCAGACCGTTGGGATACGATGGCCTCCACCCTGTGCATTTCTCCTCTGTCCTCTTACTAAGACAATCCTGCTCCTACATAGCCCCAAATAGGATATGGAACAGGAAAGCTGATAAACATTCCTAGTGGAGGTGTTCATCTTATCACCTGGGGCCTAGCAGAGGATCAGTGCTCTCAGGGTCTGTGGCCCCCTCACCTGGGCTGAGCTTGCAGGCAAGGCGCTNAAGGGGGCAACAGAGGATGAGATGGTTGGATGGCATCACTGACTCAATGGACATGAGTTTCAGCAAACTCCAGGAGATAGCGAAGTTCAAGGAAGCCTGGCATGCTACAGCCCATGGGGTTGCAAAGAGTAAGACATGACTTCGTGACTGAACAACAATGATTATGATATTTAATTTTTCTCATAATCATTCAATGTAATATCATCATGCTGAATAAATAAGAAACTTATAGAAGAAGACAGTAAATAATATATTGAACCAAATTAAAAATTGAAAAAAAACTTACTTATCAAAGCCAGTAAGCTATTTCTTTGCATTTGTAAGTAAGAGAAACCTACTTTACAACAGGTGTACTTTTGTCGGAGCCCCCCTTTGTTTTACTAAGCCATCTCTATTTCCATCTCTATCTCCATTTCTGCAATAGCAGAAATGATGGCCAGGACTTTACAAAGGCTCCCTGAATTGTTTATGGATGTCAGGACATCAGATACTGTCTGGAGGCAAGAGCAGCCTGTCTGTCAGAATCCCATTCATCTTGTTCTTCTGTAGTCAAAACCTAATGTCTTCCTAAACCTGTGTTGTGAAGTTGTCTCTTCAGTTCCTTGCTCAGACAAGGCCGCTTCCATTTAAAAATACACAAACAGTATCATACACTGAGTGACACACAGTCAGATATAGAGTGTGGAGAGGTACAGCTGGTGTGGATTGAAAGAACAAGAGAATGTCAAGGTCAAGAAAGGCTGACAAGCTGTAGTCAGGAGGGAGGGAGCTGTGATTTAGAGGCAAATAAGGTGCTAATTGCACAACACTGAGGATGTACCAAATGCCACTGAGTTGAATTGTCCACTTGAATTTGGTAAATTTCATGATATGTGGTTTTAGGTCAATAGTGTTTTAAAAACAGAGTAACTGAAGCCCTGAATAATACTTGGAATCCACAATCCACCAATTGTTGGAGCCGGGTGGGCTATGGGCCGTGGGATCGCAAAGAGTCAGACACAACTGAAGTGATTCAGCATACATGCACCTCTTTTATGACAGTGTCCTGTGCCTGCCATCAACACCCCCGCCCTCCCTACCTCAGCCTCTCATCGAGCGTGGGCTTCTCTGCTGGCCTCAGTGCCTCAAAAGGCAGCTTCTCCCCCATCACAGATTCAACGTTGTCCTTACACGGTTCACACTCTGAGGAAAGAGAGACAGTGCCTCAGGGAAAGCCAGCATTGCTGCTGTGGTCACTGCCTTCAAAGGAGGAGGACGGGCCCCCAGAGGCAGATGTAACCTCAGTACCAAGGTCTACACAGCCATGTCCATATCTGATTTCTCAGCCTCCTAACTGAGGTGACTCCCCATTTTAGAGCTGAGGAAAGAGAAGCTCCTAGGCACAGAAAGCAAGTAGACAGTTTGAACTGCCATTTGGCAAAGTCAGAATTCACAGCCCCTGAGACTGACCCTGAATCCTGGGCCACTGAACCAGGACCTGCAGCCTCTTAGGTGAGACACTGAGCTGGGGTCTGGGGTGGCGATTCCTGTGTGGTCGGGAAGGCCTATAGGGCTAAACTGATGGTTCCCCTGGGACATCACAGTATTTCAGTAATGAACAAGTATCTTGAGGTAAAAAACTCACCTGGACACACTTGTGTGAAATAGAATACACGAAACCATAAGGACCTGAAAGAATTGTGCCCAAACACTGATAATGTTTGCGTTATTAGGAATAGTAGAACTGCGAACTGTGTTTACACTGAGCCAGGCACTACTGTCAGGGCTTTATCAGATTTACTCAGTATTCATTATAACTCAAACAACGGTTACTATTACAGCACCACACAGACAGAGGAGGAAACAGAAGCACAGAAAGATTCCCAACGTGGATGTGAGCCTAGGAAGCCTGGCCCAGAGTCCATGCCCTTCACACTGTGCTGTGTGACCTCCCACAGGGTCCTGGTGAGACATTTCTTCTTCACCAGCCTCACAATTCCTTTCTTAGAATAATCTTATGATTAAAAGGAAAGATGTAAATAAAACTAAGTTTGTCCTTTCCCCAAAGCTTATCCCTTTACTTTCTTAAACAACAGGCTTTACTTTTTACTTTTCTCTGTGTCAGTCATTTTTCATTAATTCCCTCATAGATTAATGGAAAACGATTACACAGACTCAAGTTGACAAGATTTCTGTCATCCCCTTGCTGTGCATGTACCCTGCTCACGACTTCTTTCCTCACTACAGGCCCTTCTCCCTGAACAGGCAACAGTGCTTCAACTGCCAGGCTGACTGTGGGTAGAAAGGGCCTCTCCCACACTCTGCCTGGGATTTTACTGTGGCTGGTGATCTCTCCCACTTACCATTTGCTCATGTTGGTCACACATCTTATACCACAGACTCAGGGTCTNGATTTTGTTGACCTTCATGGGTTTACAGCCTCTGTCTCTAAACAAAGTATGGAAACAGTAGAGCTTTTATTTTGCTTTTGTTTTTGTTTTGTTTTTCCCCCACTACGTAGAAATGAGAGTTCTTAGTCTGTTTCTGGCCAATCTGTTAATCTATTAGGATATTTATCTTTCGTTTGCTTTGCAGTAGGCATAGTGAATTTAGCTGAAGAGCAAGCACATCTGTAAGCTACAACTTGATTACATCTTTTTTTCTAGCTGTTTTGCATTTTTTCTTTTACCATGTTTTAGTTTCTGCGTGTAGAATTAAATAAGAAACAAAACTGTAAAGTTGTAACATTTCACAAGGAAATGCTGCCCCATCTTCACCAGCTTCAGAAATCTGACCTTTGCCGATGCTGCAATAAAGTGTTGTAATTTAAAAAAAAAGAAAGAAAGCGACACAGACACAGGTTGTCAAGATTCTGCTCATCCCCTTGTTCTGCAAGTACCCTGGTCATGATTTCTTTCCTTATTCCAAGCCCCCTCTCACTGAACAGGCAAAAATGACTCCAATTGCCGGCTGACTGTGGGCGCAAAGGGCCTCCTCACACTCTGTTGGGTTTTTACTGGGGCTGGTGATCTGACCCCACTTACCATTATCCTCATGTAGGTCAGAGATCTTATAGCATAGACTCAGGGTCCCCCGGACTCCTGGTCAACCTGAATCACCAAAGTTTCACCAGCTCAAGTGGGGAGAGAGGGGAAAGTGCAGATTGTCTGATTAACAAGAAACACCTTCATTCTTGCCACAGAGTCACATGGCTTTCTTGGACTCAGAAAGGAGAACCTGCACACTCAGAAAGCACGACTTCCTTCTCACCAGGGAGTCCCTGTCTTGATGGCCTCACAGAGACCATGGTTTCAGTGAGAAGCAGACTCATCCTTAAGCTCCTTTAAATCATATCCCCTGCTTCTCACAGTGTGTTAACCAGGCGTTACCCCAGTGCAAATAGCACAGGGCTTTGCCAATGGAACCTCAGGAAACCTCGAACCGATGGAGTTCATTAGTCCCAGAGGTTTAGCCAAGAGGCATGCAGGATCAGATACAGAACAGAAAAGATTCCAGTCAACACAGCTTAGTTTGCAGCTGAGAGACAGGCAATCCTGTGCCGGCACCAGGAATCACTGTCTGGAATTTTAACTCGAATCTCACCCTACACATCACTAAAAACTTGGAAAAGTGCCTCCACTTCTTGTGCCTCAGTTTTCCCAGCCTCAGGGAACTGAAGGCAAAAGAGCCACACTCCTACCTTTCCTGCACTGTGGTCAGAATGGAATTCAAAATGACAAAGGGNAACCGATGGAGTTCATTAGTCCCAGAGGTTTAGCCAAGAGGCATGCAGGATCAGATACAGAACAGAAAAGATTCCAGTCAACACAGCTCAATTTGCAGCTGAGAGACAGTCAATCCTGTGCCGGCATTTAGGAATCACTGTCTGGAATTTTAACTCGAATCTCACCCTACACATCACTAAAAACTTGGAAAAGTGCCTCCACTTCTTGTTCCTCAGCTTTCCCAGCCTCAGGGAACTGAAGGCAAAAGAGCCACACTCCTACCTTTCCTGCACTGTGGTCAGAATGGAATTCAAAATGACAAAGGGAAAAGGAGACCAATATGGGAGACTTAGTTTCTTAGATGGAAGACAGTGATCATTCATTGCTTTGGTGACCATGACCCCAAGGACTTACTGTATTTCTGCAGATGGTTGGCCAGGGAGTAAGCAGTCGCTTGGGATACGAGGAATTTCTNTTATTTATCAGATGCAACGGAAGCTTCTGGTTGATTTCAGTGAGGATAAGTTCTGCCCTCAGGTCAGATAAAGAGAGAAGAGGTATTGCCATGGTGATGTGTAGCAGATGATGGCAGAGCCAGGGGCGAGGAGAAGACACTCAATATACAGGGGATTAAAGACAAGCAAAATCACATAGGTTTAATCAGCACTGAGGAATGACAAAAACTGGAATTCTTCACTTACTGTTGGGACCAACTAGAGGGTTCTTAACCCCAAAAAGAAGGTTTAAGATGCCATAGCTCAGAGTCACAGGTGTTGTGTGGGGCTCGGACTCAGACAGGAGTGAAGGAGGGGGACCCAGCATGCTCGATAACTGTTTGGAGTCGCTGTAACAGAACTGGTAGGGGGAGACGGTCATGGAATCTTGGGGGCCCCTGCCTTCCAGGTGCCTAGGTGATGCTGATTCACAAGGTCTTGTGAACATCAGCACTGATAGCACCGAAGTCCTCAAAAGCCACTCTTGTGTTGTCTACACACATCCTGATACCACTGACCTATCTCTTTCCAAAAATTACCTCAGCTGAGTTCCATTGTTCATTCTTCTGTGTATACAAATATTTGAGGGAGAAATACTTTGCCAGTAGGTCTTAATTTCTGTTGGGCTGTCATAAAGTCACCTCACCTTCTCTTTAAACAGATCTTAAGGCTTTTCCACAGGTGAGATATGTCAAACTTGTAGACTCTCATGAACTTCTTCTCTGGGTCTTTTCCACTTTTGTCTGTCCTTAAACCTGTAGGAAAAAATCAGAGTATAATACTAAGTGAATGAGCAATTTTTAAAAATGGTTTCTGTCCGGACTCAATATTATTTTGCCGCATCCCAGTGTTACATCAGATTCCTGTCTTCCTTGGGCAGCTTGTTTGCTTCAGAGTAAACTTAAGTTTGACAGCCCTACCTTCTAAACCCTCCTCTGTATCTGGGTCGCTCTAGTTGTTTTTAATGTCACTAAACACTACATTTCAAACTTTTACTCATGGATTTCATTGTACCTCCGTTAAGAGCTCTTTACAAGCTGTCAAAATGATTAAAAGTGTTTATGTGTATATCCTTGAATATTGGCATGATGATCTGTTTAGTAAGGTCATGGGTCAGGGATGGTTGATGAACTACAGTGAACATGGAAAATTGTGTTCAGAGACATAGAAGATGAAATTGAAGAGAGAGGGACAGGCATGCTCTCAGCGAGTGATGGTCTTAACCAACTCCTTACTTCCTCAGCATCTCTTCTTACCTGGGTCTGGTGAGCCTAAGATTTGGGAGAGCCTCTGTAGCATTGGTCTCTTCAGTTTAGCTGCAGGACGAACCTGGATGGTGGGTGAAATGGGTGTGACCATGAACCACTGAGCATTTGTCCATGTCAAGGTAAAGGTAAGAGAACTGGATCAACCAGTTACAAAAGTTTATCTTCCCCTCACCTCATGCCGTCCTCCAGATTCCCTTCTTAATGATATTGGTATATGAGATCCAGCAAAGACTTGAAAGAAACTTATTTTTTGGTGTCTGTGGACCCTGACATTCTGTGGGGGTAAGAAAAATGCATCACATTCCTTCATTTAAAAAATCATCATAATAGTTATAGTTCATTGACTGATACTGGGTCAAGAAATTGTACAATATTATAATTAAGTGAACACTGCAAAGAAGTAGAGGAAAACAATAGAATGGGAAAGACTAGACATCTCTTCAATAAAACTGGAGTTATCAAGAGAAAATTTCATGCAAGGATGGGCATGATAAGGGACAGGAAAAGTATCTGACTTGAGGTCAAATGGGGATGAATTTTGCCATGCTAGCAGAAGGGTGTAACAGGTACAGTTCATTGACTGATACCGTGCAAGGCATTGCACACATATTATGAAGATTTCTTTGATCGTAATCATTCAAGGTAACATCATTGTAGAAGAAGCACATTAAAAAATTTATTCAACCAAAGTTAAAATTAAAAAAAAAAAAACCACTTCATCAAGGCAAGTAAGCTATTGCTTTGCATTTTGTAGCTAGGAGAATTCTATTGTTTTTATCCTGCCTTTATCCCATTTCATACTCCTCTTTCTCTCTGTGACCTGACTTTATTCCTAGAGCCCTACCTTTTTTCAACTAAACCATTTCTATGCACTGAGCAATAGCAGAAGTGATGGCTGGGCCCTTCCAAGGGCTCCCTGAGCACTTAACGTGTTTCAGGACACCGGACACCATCTGGAGGCAAGAGCAGCCTGTCTGTCAGATTGTGTGCTGTGCTATGTTGCTTCAGTCGTGTCCGACTCTTTGTGATCCCATGGACTGTAGGCCTCCAGCCTCCTCTGTTCATGGAATTTCCCAGGCAAGAACACTGGAGTGCCTTGCCATTTCTTCCTCCAGGGAATCTTCCTGACCAGGGATCAAAACCGTGTCTCCTTCGTCCTTTCCTTTGCCCTCTTAAAGCTGACGCAGTGCCTTAAGAGGCTAACACAGGAGGGTAAAGAAAGTCTCCATAAAACCCAGAGAAGAGATTTTTAGACCTCCTCTCTGGATCCTGTCTGGAGTCACAACTGAACCGGAAGATTTTAAGTCTTAGCACTTACTAGTATGTGTATAGTTAATACCAAAGTCATTAAATTTAAACTTGACCTTCGATTTGACAATAAAAAGAAAAACAAAAAACCATGTCTCTTGCATGTCCTACATTAACAGGTGGGTTCTTTACCACTAGCGCCACCTGAGAATCCCATCTGTTAGAATGGGCAGCTGCTTTCCCAACCCACTGATGTTAGCAGGATGGCCCAGGACAGAAAGGGATCACTTCTTTTCAACTCAAGAATCTTTTCTCTCAGTGACTGTGCTCTATTGGGCCGAACTCTCCTGAAATTGAATGCTCTTGCTAACTTTTTGGTTTCTTGTTAGGTGGCTTGGGTATTTATAAAATTTTCTAACAAACATCATTGTTGAAGTTTGCATTTATAGCAATGCAATTTATTTTTTAGAAAGTGGCGGCTTGGAGAAGATTGGTCCCATCAATGAGCAAACAAGGGTGAATTTAGCTTTCACTCAAAACCAGACTGAATTAAAAATTAGGCCTCACTTTCCTCAAGGTGGATGGTCAGCTGCCACAGGCATGTGTCCCCAAGGACTCGCGTCTCTGCTGTAAACTGGACAAGACTAAAATGGGGTCAGATGGGCCTAGTCCTTCAACTCTGGAGTCTTCCAACAGTTCTCTGCTTTAGTCACTGCATTGGAAACACCCTGTGCTTCTGCTCTGTCCTACTTCTATGTTTAGGTAAAAGTCATACATCTCAGTGCGTTCTGTCCCCAAGCTGATCATTCTAAGAGTCACCCAGAGAGTTAGCACCCAGACAAGTGCACCGTCCTCTCCTGAAGCAACTGTGGTTCAGCGAGTTGAGGTGGGACCTGGAATCTATTTGTGAAAGGTACTCAGGTGTGCACTTAGTTTTACCCCCTGATTTCATTGACCTCCCTCATGATTCGAGGGGATGATTATTTCATTTTTGGTACTTCTAGTGTTCAAAATTGACTGGTGCCAAAAGCATAACTCTCTGCTGCTTTGCAGTTGAAGAAACTGAGGCACAGAGAGGGTCTCTAACGGGCCAAGACCCCCTCGCTGTAAGTGCTGGAGCCACACCCGGGCAGCGTCCCTTCTACTGCGAAACCCCAGCCCACATTTTCCAGTTCACTCTGGTGTCAGGTTCTTTCAACTAGCTGTTTCCTTCACCTATACTGCATTTTACCGAAAACTTCCCCAATGTATTAATAATTTCTCACTTGATACTGTTTATCACAACAGATATTTTTCAGAAAAGTCTATCATTACCCCGTGATTCATATTGGTGACTTTATTAAAAAACTGAATATGGGTGTGGGTAACTTTTCTACTCTTTTCTCTTTCATTCATTTGTGTGCTGTTTAGTTAAACTAGTAGAGTGTCTTACTTACTGTAGTTTTAACCTCAGTTTTGAAATCTAGTAGAGTAAATCCTCCAACTTAATTCTCCATCTTGGCTAATTGAGATACTTTGATTTCCACTTATATGTTATAATTCGCCTGCAAAACTATACCTCCCCCCAAATGCCAGCTGCAATACTATTCAGAAGAACAAGGATTTGACAATCTAAACATAGTGTCTTCCAATCTATGAATATAATGTATATTTCTGTTTATTGAGGTCTTCTTTAATTTCTCTTAGCAATAGTTTTCAGGAGTCGTCAGTATCTGTATTCTTAAGCATTAAATGATCATGGATGTTTCTCTCTGTTATGTTTTACTGAAGTTCATTTCCTAATACTGCTGGTATGGGGAAATGTGGTAGATTTTTATATGAGTCCTCTTGAATGCACCATTAAAAATATACAACTAAATGCATTTTGATAGATGTATACACTATGGAAACCACAGCCAGAATCAAGATGCAGGGTATTTCCATTGGTCACAACTTTCCTTGTTCCCCTTTGCAGTGCATCACTGCCTGAACTCTTAGCCCCAAGCAACCATTGCCAGTTTAGATGAATTAGCCTTTTTAACAAATTTATACAATGGAACAGTATTCATACTCTTTCTTGTCTGCAAATTAAGTCCTCAACATATAGTTAAGAGATGATGTGTGTAAAGCCTCAAAATTGTACATGCAGAAGAATATTATTACCATCTCTGCTTCAGTAATGAGTCCCATTATCCTGGCCCCTGATAAGAATGAAGATCTCTAATTATCTGCAAACACCATTTACCCACCTTCTTGCACACTTACTTGGAGGACATCCACATGTGGGCGCTTCCACGTTTCAGGCTGGGGGTCTAGGGCAGAGCCTCAGGTCTCCTCCTCCTCCTCCTGGAACTGGTGCTCCCAGCAGTAGAAACCTCCTCCTCATTCTGGAACTGGTGCTCCCAGCAGTATAAACCTCCTCCTCCTCCTGGAACTGGTGCTCCCAGCAGTATAAGCCAACTGGATCCATCCTGTGGATCTTCTTGGCAGGTGCACAAGTTCACTGTGGACTAAGTTACTCTCCTGGTCCTTCCTGCTCAGCTCAGGTTGCTCCTTGAGAACTTAGATGATGCTGTGCATTCCTCACTTCCTATTGAACTTTCCAAGCTCAACTTGTCCTTATCCTCACCTCCCTTGGCAAACAGCTCCTCGACCATTACCTTGCTTTTCTTTGGGTTTTCTCATCGTCTGAACCTGCTGATTTCCTTTCTTCCATTCCCTCTCTCCTCTCTGTGTTTCCAGTGTGTGGGCCCAGTTGAGGCTCCTATAGGAGACACACAGAGAAAGAACCAAGATCAGGTCTTGGCTGCAGATCCCACTGCACATTTAACATGCATCTCAGTCTCTTATCACTCAGAAAAAACTCAGCAGGAAAGGAATTTGGAGAATTGGAATAACCTTCTCTTACAGATGAGGAAACTGAGGCCCAAAGAGATATGGAGATTTCGCCTAAATTCCCACACCCTTATGCAGCATAGCTGCCACACAAACCTTGACCACAAGTTTTTGTATCCAAAAGCACCAGGAACCCATGGCCATATTGCAGGGGATATTTGATCAAACATACTTCTTATTTTCCTTCCTAAAATAAAATACCTGACGGACATTTCCCCAAAAGTATTTCATCTCTTTTCAATAGTCCTGTATTTATAATTGGCAATTCTTTCTCCAGGGTATCTTCCTGACCCAGGGATTGAACTCAGGTCTCCTGCATCGCAGGCAGATTTTTTACCTTCTGAGTTACCAGAGAAGCCCAATCTCCTTCCAGTAGTCCCATATTTATACTCTGCTTACCAACTTGGTGGACATAGTGGGACCAAGGAATGCATGAATGTTAAATATGTCACAGTCTGTATTTTAAAATTAGATGTGCTTCTCTGTAAAACATCTGGCTCCTGTGTTGGAGGCCATGTTCCTGAGAGCCAGGCCTTCTCTGATCAAGCTATACCCCATACCAATTAAAGCAAAATCTCTGGAGGTCCAGTTATGTTTTCACATTGTCTAAGATGATTCCAGTATGTAGCCACATTTGAGAAACAGTTATAACTGAGGATCAAAACTGGCAGCAGCCAACTGCATTAACCCATCAGAGGGCTGGCTTGGTTGGAGAAAACCATGCTCTCACTCCTATTTCTTAGGTGCAGCTGATTTTTACTCTGCTGCCTATGTTGATAATCCCTGGAAGAAAATAGTCTTCTGAACGTAAATATCCTAAACTATAGCCAGTTTACCTCTTTCCCTCTCTCCACCAAGTTGGGCTTCTTTTTACATAGAAGCAGAGATGATGTGAAGGCCCATGATTTCACAGGATCAATCAAAGCATCAGCCTATGAAATGAAGGGTCCTCCCTCCCCCATGGAGGGCTTCCCTGGTAGCTCATCTGGTAAAGAATCCACCTATAATGTTGGAGACATGGGTTCGATCCCTGGGTTGGGAAGATCCCCTGGAGGAGGGCATGGCAAACCACTCCAGTATTCTTGCCTGGAGACTCCCCAGGAGGAGCCTAGTGGGCTGCAGTCCATGCGGTCACGAAGAATTGGACACGGCTAAGTGATTAAGCAAGGGACAGTGTTCACCACTCTTCAGACACGAGTGATGACATTTCAGTTCCTTGAATTGTGTTAGGATTCAAATCACCCCTTACCTTACACAGAACCTCCCCCAACCTCAGCAAAACGTTCACTCTGGAGTGACTGGGCCCACCATTCTAGCTGGATTTATGCTCCCTCTTTCTTCTGGCAACCCTAAAGGAAAACTGGAAAAACTGGCACTTTAGCTTCCAGAACAGCAAGTACTCACAGGAACACAAATGTTCCTGTTCACAGGTGTGCTCGGTGCTATGGCCCATCGCACTCTTAACCCCTGACTTTCCCAGTGAGTTCTTCCCAGGAACTGCCCTGGACTCCATCATGAGGCATTATCGTAGGAGCCAGGATTAGGGCCACAGGACTTTCCTTTTGTGTACATGGGTGACTTTATGATGCTTTATTCATGCCCTAGCTCTTGTGTCTCATGCTGGCAAATACCAGGGGTGAAAGTCATAGCTTCTAGGGTGGAAGTCTTCATCTCGCTGGTATTCCTCAGCCGACTGGGATCTCAGCCCGTGTGTCCCCTTTAGTGTCTGTTCTTCACAATCACACGTTTCCTGCCTGATCCTTCTGTTCTGCGACTGCTTCTCATGTTTCCTTCTGCCCAGGTGTCACCAGTGTTCATCCTGCTTCCCCAGCTACATTGCCAACCAACCATACAGAAGCCAGACCTTCCCACTACCTCAACCCTACCCAGCCCCTCTGTCCTCTGACGAGCACCACGGAACTGGGCAGAATCCTGGAGCCTGGGTACCTGGGCAGCAGTGGCCAGTGGGACATGATGAGGCCTCAGAAAGGGAGCGTATCCGGCGACCTATCCTCAGGCTCCTCCATGTACCAGCCTCACTCCAAGCCCACAGGTAAACACAAACCCAAGTAGGTCAGCCTATGAAATGAAGTCTCATTTAGGATCCACCCCTGTCCTACCAGGGAAGCATTTTCCATGTCTCCTCTGGTCCCTGCTCACAGAGTGGGAATAAAGGAAACGGCCCTGGCTGTGCTGAGTTGTTCTAAGCACACCCTTCATCCTCCCCACCCTGGGCCTCGGGGCGGAGCAGGGCTGTGAGCGAGTCAGTGACCTCTGCCTCTCTCAGTCACGTACTTCTCAGTCCCTGATCCCTGGTCCCGTCCCAGCCCACTCTCAGACCTTTCCAGAATGCCCGGCGCCATCGTTCACAGAACATCTTCCGTCATCAGGAGCTATTACAGAAAAAGGGGTTGTTGCTACACAGATCCTCACCCCATAAACATGCCCTGTGTACAAACCCAGTTCAAACTGTCCTCAGACTCCTAGCTCCTTGGTCTCCACCTGGTGGAAAGGTGCATCCACACAGGTGAATGAGGGGATGCAGTTCAGATTCAGCAGAAGAGAACTGGGATTCTCAGAAAAAGGCTGCATCCAGGCAAAATGAGGCATTGGATGCAATCACATGTTTATTAGCACCCTGGTCATTAGCACCCCTCCCACTGCTCTTTCCTGCATTTTCCTTTTTTTTTCCTTGGAGGTGTTTTTCCTCTTCTGTTATCAGTCTTCAGATCCCTGGATCAGTGCAGACTCTTCTTTCCCCATAAAAATAATTTGAGGGAATTCTTGAGTACCAGTTGTTAACCATGTCAACTCATCCTAACTTTTATCTTGGGCCTTCCCTCTAAGGGTGGCAGAGGGCTTTGTCCCTCGCTAAAGGATATTTGGTCAAGGATCAGTACAAGGAAAGGTATTAAGGTGGGGTAGGATAGGGAAGGCCTCACTCTAAATCACACTCAAGAGGTGGTCACACCTTTCCAGGTGCTAGGCTGACGTCTACAACCTTCAATTACCTTCCTAAAACATGTGAAGTCCCTTGCACTTAGCAGTTATCCTGGTAACTGTATATGTATTATACAGTTACACATACCCCTGTATGGGAGGAGGCCCATGGGGCTTGCTTAGGCCCATGGGGCTATCCTGTGTTTGATGCCAGTATGCTCTTCAAGGAAGCTCACCTAAACTTCTGGATGTTTGAATGAGAGAGGATGGTGATATTTAGGGATTTTGCTGGCCAACCGCCACCCCCCACATGTGACCAGGATGCTCCATCTCCACCTCCTCCTGTCCTCGTGGGTGGCTTCAGGGGCTGACCTGCTAGAGGAGCATCTTGGCGAAATCTGGAACCTGTGTCAGCACCTGGGGGGAGTCCATCTGCCTTAATGACCGCCTGCGGGAGCAGCTGGAACACAGGCTCAGTTTCATTGCCCGCGGAGGCGGTAGGAGAGGCCCAGGGCCTCCTATTTCTGGTCTGTTTACGGAGAATCTGAAGGTTGCCCTTGGGAAGAACTTTGCAGATTTCAAAGCACTCTGGTAGGCTTTCCTCTACTGGCTGTTTACAGTCAGCAAGGCAGGGGGCAAGGACCATTCCCCTCCTTTTGTGGTGGTATCTGAGCTCAGAGAGCAACTCTCCTCACTGCAGATATAACCAGGTCTGATCCCCAGAATCCTGACTTCTCATCCATCCTAAATCTGCTCATTTGCTGCCTGCTGACTTCTGTGCCCTGGTCCTGTGATTGGCACGTGGTGGAGCCAGGTCTGCAGGGCCTCCCCCATCCACTCACTGAGGTGGCCTTGCTGCCCACACTCTCCCCCAGGCTGCCGACACTGGGAGGCCAGACCTTTCACCTGCCCTTATCTTGCCAACACCGAAGTGGCAGCGGCAGCAATTTAGGAATAAAGCCTCCTGAACAGCTCACCCAGGGCACATGAAATGCATGCAAAGAACCCATGCAGAGGAGCCACAGGAAAGCCAGGCATTCAGCCCAGCAGACTTCGTCCCACCAGGACGTGAGTCCTCAGAGTTTTCTGCTGGGTTGGGACAGTGTCTTTGGAGACAGGCAATGAGCAAACAGAGATCCTCTGTTTCCCAAATGTGTAACTTACCAGCTTGCACTTCTCAGGAGAGGATCCACCTCTAACTTCTACAACCCGGGCCCAGAGTCCACACCTCAGCTCTCCAATGAGAGCAAAGTCCTTAGGGAAGAAAACCAGAGGCTTCAGCCTCAACCCAGTCACATTTTCAGGGGCAGGAGGGCATTTCAGATCCCTGGCCGCACCAATCACCAATTAGAGAAGCAAAGAGCGAAGGTGGAGAGAACAGAGCTACTTAGACACACCAACTCGAACTCTCATAGCTTTTCTCACTCTAGAAAGGGCTACTCCTGACGNTAAAGGAAAACTGGAAAAACTGGCACTTTAGCTTCCAGAACAGCAAGTACTCACAGGAACACAAATGTTCCTGTTCACAGGTGTGCTCGGTGCTATGGCCCATCGCACTCTTAACCCCTGACTTTCCCAGTGAGTTCTTCCCAGGAACTGCCCTGGACTCCATCATGAGGCATTATCGTAGGAGCCAGGATTAGGGCCACAGGACTTTCCTTTTGTGTACATGGGTGACTTTATGATGCTTTATTCATGCCCTAGCTCTTGTGTCTCATGCTGGCAAATACCAGGGGTGAAAGTCATAGCTTCTAGGGTGGAAGTCTTCATCTCGCTGGTATTCCTCAGCCGACTGGGATCTCAGCCCGTGTGTCGCCTTTAGTGTCTGTTCTTCACAATCACATGTTTCCTGCCTAATCCTTCTGTTCTGCGACTGCTTCTCATGTTTCCTTCTGCCCAGGTGTCACCAGTGTTCATCCTGCTTCCCCAGCTACATTGCCAACCAACCATACAGAAGCCAGACCTTCCCACTACCTCAACCCTACCCAGCCCCTCTGTCCTCTGACGAGCACCACAGAAATGGGCAGAATCCTGGAGCCTGGGTACCTGGGCAGCAGTGGCCAGTGGGACATGATGAGGCCTCAGAAAGGGAGCGTATCCGGGGACCTATCCTCAGGCTCCTCCATGTATCAGCTTCACTCCAAGCCCACAGGTAAACACAAAGCTGAGCGGGTCAATTGTTTCTCTAAACCATATGAAACCTCTTACATTTACCAGTTACCCTGGAAACTGTACATGTACATTTACAACTCCCTTACATGCACCCCTACATGGGAGGGACCCATGGGGCTTGCTTAGCACCAGCTGTCCTGTGTTTGAAACCAAATTACTCTTTTTGTAGGGTAAAAGTGATGCGTTATTTAATTTTAAACCTTTTTTTTTTATATTGGGCCAAAACAATTAACAATTGTTAATTGTTTACAATTGTTAATTTTTAACAATTAACAGTATTAACAATGTTGTGATAGTTTCAGAGGAACAGCAAAGGGACTCAGTGATACATATACATGTACCCATTCTCCCTCAAACTCCTCTCCCATCCAGGCTGCCACATAACATGAACAGAGTTCTATGTGCTATGTAGTAGGTCCTTGTTGGTTATCCATTTTAAATATAGCAGTGTGTACATGTCCATCCCAAATGCCCTGTCTCTTTCCCCCAACCTTCTCCCTGGCCACCATAAGTTTGTTGTCTAAGTTTGTGAGTCTCTTTCTGTTTTGTAAGTAAGTTCATTTGTATCGTTTCTTTTTAGAAGCTACATATAAGGGATATCATACGATATTTCTCCTTCTCTGACGTCAGTCAATATGACAATCTCTAAGTCCATTCATGTTGCTGCAATGGCATTATTTCATTATTTTTTATGGCTGAATAATTTTCCAGTGTGTGTGTCTGTGTATACATCTTGGTGGAGCCAATTTATTCTTTAAACAAAGTCACCTGAGCTTCCGTATGCCCATGAGAGAGGACAGTGATGTTTGGGGATCTTGCTGAGAGGCCCTGGCAGAGCCCCCCTAGTGGGCCCCACTAGTAGATAGCCCCAGGATGCTCCATCTCCCTTTTCCTGTCCCCTCCTCCCTTTTCCTGGGTGGCTGCAGGGGCTGACCTCCTAGAGGAGCATCTTGGTGAAATCCGGAACCTGCGCCAGCGCCTGGAGGAGTCCATCTGCATTAACGACCGCCTGCGGGAGCAGCTGGAACACAGGCTCAGCTCCACCACCCGAGAAAGCGGTAGGAGAGGCCCAGGGCCTCCTATTTCTGGACTTACTAGGGAGAATCTAAAGGTTGCCCTAGAAAAGAGCATCACAGATTTCAAAGCACTGTGGTCTGCTTTCCTCTACTTGCTCCTTACAGTCAGTGAGGCAGGGGCAAGGACCATTCCCCTCCCTTTGTTGCTGTATCTGACCTCAGAGAGTAACTCTCCTCACTGCAGATCTAACCAGATCTGGTCCCCAGAATCCTCTGATTTCTCATTCATGCTAAAGCTGCTCATTTGCTGCCTACTGACTTCTGTGCCCTGGTTCTATGATTGGCATGTGGTGGAGCCAGGTCTGCAGGGCCTCCCACAGCCGCTCACCAAGGTGGCCTTCCTGGCCACACTGCTCCTTCCCTCCCCCAGGCTGCTAACACTGGGAGGCGGGCCTTTCCAAACACCCTTGACCTGTCCACACTGCAGCAGGAGCAGCTATTTAGGGAATACAGCCGCCTGAACAGCTCACCCAGGGCACATGAAATGCATGCAAAGAACCCATGCAGAGGAGCCACAGGAAAGCCAGGCATTCAGCCCAGCAGACTTCGTCCCACCAGGACATGAGTCCTTGGGGTTTTCTACTGGGTTGGGACACTGTCTTTAGAGACAGAATGAGCAAACAGAGATCCTCTGTTACACAAATGTGTGACTTACCTTCTTGCACTTCCCCGGACAGGCTCAACCTCTAGCTTCTACACTCCGGGCCTGGAGTCCACACCTCAGCTCTCCAGTGAGAACAGAGTCCTTAGGGAAGAAAACCACAGGCTTCAGGCTCAGCTCAGTCATGTTTCCAGAGGTGAGTGCCAAAAGCCACAAACTGTGGTCAGTATTGTATCCCTTTCTTCCCTGGCACACCCATCACCAATTGGAGAAGCAAAGAGAGAAGGTAGAGAGAACAGAGCTACTCAGACCCACCAACACCAAACTCCCCTAGCTTTTCTCACTCTAGGAAGGGCTATTTCCTGACAACCCCCAACCATGGACCTTCAGACGCCTAGGCTCCAGGGAGGAGGAGCTTTAGGAAATCCACTTCTGTGCAACCCACTTGCAGTTATTCAGTCGTTAGCTATCAAACTGGACACCAGTTAGTGCCTGTCCTACCTCCCCACAGCTCACAGCTAGTTTGGACCCAGGAAAGGGAGGAGCAGAAGGCCTACATACCCTCCCAGGTTCTTCCAAGACCTCGCTGAAGCTCCCTGTGTCCCTCTCGTGCTGATGTATTGTCCCCATGTCTCCTCTCCATCTCCCTCCTCATACACTCAGGGCTCCTCTTTGGTCCCTGGTCCTCATGACTGTGTCTGGAGGTGCTAGAAAAACATCTTCCAGAGCTTTCTCAACACTATTGAGTGGGCGTCCATGTGTGGGCATCATTTCCTTTGGGGCCTGGGGTAGAGTGTAGGCACTGACCTTAGTGTTAATTGAGTTAATGAAATCAATGTATTTTCAATCACAAGTTATTTTTATTTACAAATATTTATTGAGTAGCCAAACAGACAAAGAATAGTGGCTAAGAGGATTAAGCCCAGAATGAAATAATGGAAAGGGAAAAGACATTAAAAGAGGTTTCTACATAAGCCTCTTGATCCTTGGCAAAACTCACGAGTGGATTATTGCATAGAGGGTATGTGTGTACTTAGAAAATTGAGTTAGGAAGCAGAGTGTGTTCCCTAAAACCAAGGCGGGCCATACTAAATCACAGCAGCAACCTCTTTCTGCAGAGAAAGAGGCTCCCACTCCTTGGAGCGTGTGGGTGAAACAGCAGACACTGGCTTTGCCTCCCTGGCAGCATAAGCTGGCCTTCCTTTCACCTTATCTGTTTGTCGGGATGGATGTGCTTGGGCTTATCTTCCTGCTGACCTTTGACCCTACAATACAAGTACTCCTGTGTTCTGCTTACCAGAGCACTCCCAGGAAACAGAATGCCTGAGGGAGGCTCTGCTGACCTCTCGATCCCGGCTTCAAGAGCTGGAAATGGAGCTGGAGCACCAAAAGGTGGACCGGCAGCAGTTACTGGAAGACCTGAAGGAGAAGCAGCAGGAGATCTTGCATTTCCAGGAGGAACGACTGTCTCTCCAGGAGAAAGACTCCAGGTTAGAGGGAGCCCATTGAAAAGGAAGGTGGCCACATTTTCAGATTTAGAAAAAGGGATATTGGCAAGTCAATGAGTGGTCCTTTTCGGAAATTTCAATATCCCCTCTGCTAGTTCAGATTTATGGGTAACTTTGAACAGAAGGAAGGACTTCTCTAGGAATGACTTTTTCACTCCAAAGTTGAGAGAGTAAAACCCTCTTATGTAAGGCTTCAGCATATCAGATTGTGGAAAGTACTTCCAGTGAGTTTTAGGGTATTAGTCCCATCATAACCTAGGAGGTCTACACCAGCCTTGATGCTGCTTCCCAGAATAAACCCTGTAACTGCTGGGCAACATGACAGACACGGTGGGGCAGTAAGAACATCAGGTAGTGTGTCCTAGGCGTGATAGCTAACAGCACAATTCTAAGCAAAGGGACTTTACCTTCTGAGCCTGTCTTGCCACATCTGTAAAATGAAGGCAGTGGTCTTCATGACACCGCAGTTGACATCTAGGGCTAAAATTCTATGATGCGAAAGTTGGCTCAGCGCCTCTTGCCCTGATGGCAGTCCACCCGCCTAGTGGACCCCTGCTTTTGCCTTGCCAGGCTGCAGCGTAAGCTGGCCCTCCTGCAGCAGCAGTGTGAAGAGAAACAGCAGCTCTTCCAGTCCCTCCAGTCAGAGCTACAGATCTATGAGGCACTTTATGGGGACTCCAAGAAGGGGCTGAAAGGTATGTTTCCCCTGCTTCCCCACCCCGGGAGCTTCTTGTTCTCGCCAAAGCTTCCGGTGAAGTCTTTACCTTGGGAGTTCCGGAGATCTTGGAAACTTACTTCATTCTATCTGAGAAAAAGGCTCAGTCATTGAGGATCCCAATAAGAAGCGGGGGAGCGCTCACACACAAAGCCCAGATGCTGGTGACAAGAGCAAGATTCGGCCTACAGATCCTTAAAAATAGGCTACAAGAGTCAAACTTCACCTTACCTGGATGGTCTGAGACAAGTTAATCAAAGTCCAGATTATACAGTGATTTTTAAAAAATGCAAAGAACCATTCTGGTGGTGTCATCATTTGAAAACGTCTCAGATGTGAATTCTGATCACCCTCGCAGTGATTGTTGCAGACAACCAGCTCCCACGCTGACCTTTCCCCAAGTGAGAAAAAAGTTTTCTTTAAAGACATTTTTATTCTGGGTATAATTAATTTATCAGAAAAATAATTTGCAGATATTTCGGTAAGTCCTTTTAGTGTCTTTGAAAGACAGCACTTTTTAGATTTTATTGAACATCAAATTTTTTTCTTTTATTATTTATGCTTTCCTTTATGTCCTAGCGAAGAAAACTTTGTCTATCTCAAGATCATCAAGATTTCCTTGTATTTTTCTTCTTGAAGTTTTATAGTTTTTGCTCTTATGTTTAGGCCTGTGTTTCATTTTGAATTAATTTTGTATATGATATGTGAGAAAAAGGTTAAAGTTCTTTTTTCCCCACATTGATATCCAGTTTTTCCAGCACCATTTGTTACAAAGAATGTCCTTTTCCCACTTAATTACCTTGGCAGCTTTGTTGACAATCAATTGACCATAACTTAAGTTAGTAATATTTTATAATTTTTGGTATATTCATCTTTCATATTTTAATTTTTACATAAATATTTCTCATGTGTGGGATAACGTTTTCATTTCAACTGCCAAGTAATTTTTTTGCTAGGATATAGAAACACAATTGATTTTTCATCACCACGACCATCCTCAAATTGCTTGGCATCTCCATTGGAAAACAACTGCCAAGGCAAAAAAAATCACTTGCCAATATATGTGTGAGTCTGTTTCTGAATTCTTCACTCTGTTCCATTAATCAATGTGTCCATTCTTCCACCAATAACAAGCTGTCTTCATTGTTAAGAGTTTTATAGTAAAATCTGAATTTGTTTGGGTAAGCCTTCACACTTTGTTCTTTTTTCTTTTTCTCTTTTAAAATTAAAAAAAACTATATTGGAGTATATTTGATACACAATGTGTTAGTTTCAGGTGTACAGAAAAGTGACATAGTTTATCCATTCATATATATATCCATATATATATGACATATATATCCATTCATTTTCAGAATCTTTTCCAATATAGGTTATTACAGAGGATGTTTATGTTAATACCAACTTCCTAATTTATCTCTCCCCCTACCTTTCCCTTTTGATAACCAGAAGTTTGTTTTCTAAGTCTGTCAGTTTCTGTTTTGTAAATAAGTTCACTTGTATTCATTTTTTAAGATTCCATATATAAGTGATATTATATTTGTGTTTTTCTGTCTGATTGACTTCACTTAGTATGATAATCTCTAGGTCCACCCATGTTGCTGCAAATGGCATTATTTCATTCTTTCTTATGGCTAAGTAATAGCCCATTGTATTCATGCACCATATCTTCTTTAATCATTCATTTGTCAATGGACATTTAGGTTGCTTCTATGTCTTGGCTATTGTAAATGGTACCGCTGTGAACATTGGGGCACAAGTATCTTTTCCAAGCATGGTTTTCTTCAGATATATGCTCAGGAGTGGGATTGGTGGATCATATGATAGCTCTATTTTTAGTTTTTTAAGGAACCTCCATACTGTTCTCCCTGTAGCTACACTAAATTCCCACCAACAGGATAGGAAGTTTCCCTTTTCTCCACAACTAATCTAGCATTTATTGTTTGAAGATATTTTGATGATGGCCATTCTGGCCAGTGTAAGGTAATATCCCATTGTAGTTTTGATTTGCATTTCTCTAATAATTAGCCATGTTAAGCATCTTTTCATGTGGTTTTTGACTATCTGAAATGTCCTCTTTGGAGAATGTCTGTTTAGATCTTCTGCCTATTTTTTGATTGGGTTGTTTCTTTAATATTGAGCTGCATCAGCTCTTTGTATAATTTGGAGATTAATCCCTTGTCAATCGATTGCAAATATTTTCTCCCATGCTGTGGGTTGTCTTTTCATTTTGTTGATGGTTTCCTTTGCTGTGCAAAAGCTTTCTAAGTTTAATTGGGTCCCATTTGTTTATTTTGATTTTCATTTCTTTAATCTAGGAGGTGGATCCAAAAAGAACTTGGTAAGATTTATGTCAAAGGGTGTTCTGCTTAGGTTTGCTCCAAGAGTTTTATAGTATCCAGTCTTACATTTAGATCTTTAATCCATTTTGAGTTTGTCTTTGTGTATGGTGTTAGAGATGTTCTAATTTCATTCATTTACATGTAAATGTTTTCCCAGCACCACTTATTGAAGAGACTTCCTTATATACATTGTAGAGTCTTGCCTCCTTTGTTGTTGATTAATTAATCATGGGTGCATGGGTTTATTTCTAGGATTTCTATCCTGTTCTATTGATCTGTCTTTGTGCTAGTACCATACTGCTTTGATTACTGTATCTTTGTACTGTAGTCTGAAATCAGGGAGCCTNGAACTGAACTGAACTGAATCATATCAGGCTTCCCAACATGGTAAATAATCCACTTGCCAATGCAGGAGACATGGGTTTGACCCCTGAGTCAGGAAGGATCCCCTGGAGAAAGAATTGGCAACCTACTGCAGTATTCTTGCCTGGGAAATCCCATGGGCAGAGGAGCCTGGTGGGCTATAGTCCATGGGGTCACAGAAGAGTCGGACACAACTTAACAACAAAACAACAACAATCATGTCATCTGTAAATAGTGACCGTTTTACTTCTTTTCCAATTTGGATTCCTCTTACTTCTTTTTCTTCTCTGATTACCGTGGCTAGGACTTCCAAAACTATGTTGAACAAAACTGGCAAGACTGAACATCCTTATCTTGTTATTGACCTTAGAGGAAATACTTTCTTTTTCAGCTTTTCACTGTTGAGTATGATGTTAGCGGTGGGTTTGTCACATATGACCTTTATTATGTTGAGATAGGTTCCCTCTGTACCCACTTTCTGGAGAGTTTTTATCGTGAATGGCTGTTGATTTTGTCAAAAGCTTTTTTTGCATCTATTAAGATGATCATGTGATTTGTGTTCTTCTCTTTGTTAATGTGGTTTATCACACTGATTGATTTGTGGATATTGAAAAATCTTTGCATCCCTGGGATAAAGCCCAATTGATCATAGTATATGATCCTTTTAATGTATTGTTGGATTCAGTTTACTAGTATTTTGTTGTATCATGTTCGTCAGTGATATTGGCCTGTAATTTTCTTTTTTTGTGGTCTCTTTGTCTGGTTTTGTATCAGAGTAATGGTGACCTCTTAGAATGAGTTTGGGAGTGTTCCTTCCTCTGTAATATTTTGAAATGGTTTCCAAAGGATAGGTATTAACTGTTCTCTAAATAGAATTTGCCTGTGAAGCCATCTGGTCCTGGACTTTTATTTGTTGGAAGTGTCTTAATTACAGTTTCAGTTTTAGTAATTGTGATTGGTCTATTTATATTTTCTATTTCTTCCTGGCTCAGTTTTGGGGGATTGTACATTTCTAAGAATTTGTCCATTTCTTATAGGTTGTCCATTTTATTGGCATGCAGTTGCTTGTGTGGGAGTCTCTTATGATCCTTTGTATTTCTGTGGTTCTATTGTAACTTCTTTTTCATTTCTAATTTTATTGATTTGAACCTTCTCTTTTCTTCTGATGAATCTGGCTTAAGGTTTATCTATTTTGTCTATATTTTCAAAGAGCAAGGTTTTAATTTCACTGATCTTTTCTTTTGCTTTCTTTGTCTCTATTTCATTTATTTATGTTATGATCTTTGATTTCTTTCCTTCTGCTACTCTTGGATTTTGTTTGTTCGTCTTTCTTTAGTTGCTTTAGGTATAAGATTAGGTTGTTTGAGATGTTTCTTGTTTCCTTAGGTAAGATTTATTGCTGTGTTCCACAGGTATTGGATCATCACATTTTCATTTTCATTTGTTTCTAGGTATTTTTTAAATTTTCTCTTTGATTTCTTCAATGATCCATTGGTTATTTAGAAGTGTATTATTTTTCTTCACATGTTTGTGTGTGTGTGGTTTTTTTTTTTTTTTTTTACAGTTTTCTTGTAGTTTATTTCTAATCTCATAGTGTGTGGTCAGAAAAGGTGCTTGATGTGATTTCAGTTCTCTTAAATTTCTCAAGGCTGTCTTTCTGGCCCAGCATATGGTCAATCCCGGAGAATGTTCCATATGTAATTGAAAAGAATGTATTAACTGCTGCTTTTGGATGGAATGCTGTAAACATATCAATTGACTCCTTCTGGTTTAATGTTTCGTTTAAGGCCCATGTTTTTTTATTGATTTTCTGTTGGGCTAATCTGTCCATTGATGTAAGTGGGGTATTAAAGTCCCCCACTATTATTGTGTTACTGTCAATTTCTCCTTCCATGGCTGTTAGAATTTGCCTTATATATTGAGGTGCTCATGTGTTGGGTGCATTTATATTTACAACTGTTATATCTTCTTCCTGGATTGCTCCTGTGGTCATTATGCAGTGTCCTTCTATGTCTCTTGTCATATATTTATTTTAAAGTTTATTTTGTCTAATACGAGTATTGCTACTCCAGCTTTCTTTTGATTTCCATTTGCATAGAACATCTTTTTCCATCCCCTCAGTTTCAGTCAGTCAGTGTCTCTAGTTCTTAAGTGGGTCTCTAGTAGACAGCATATACATACGTCTTTTTGTATGCATTCAGTCAGTCAACGCCTTTGATTAAGCATTTAATCCATTTTCATTTAAGGTAATAATTGATACATATGTTCGTATTCTTGCCTGGAGAATCCCAGGAACTGGGGAGCCTGGTGGGCTGCCGTCTGTGGGGTCACACAGAGTTGGATACGACTGAAGCGACTTAGCAGCAACAGCATGTTCTTATTGCCATTTTGTTAATTGTTTTAGATTTGTTTTTGTAGGTCTTTTTTCCTCCCTTCCTCTTATATTCTCTTTTCTTGTGGTTTGATGACTGTCTTCAATGTTGTGTTTGGGTTCATTTACCATTTTGTGTGTATCAATTGTAGATTTTTGTTTTTTGGTTACCATGAGGTTTTGATATAGAAGTCTATATATAAACAAGGTTGTTTTAAGTTGTCCATCTCTTACTTTCAAATGAATTTCCAATAGCCTGCTTTTATACTCTGCATTTCTCATGATTATTGATTTTGATACCATATTTGTGTGTGGATAATTCTCTACCTTTACAGTATGTTTACCTTTATAATATGTTTGCCTTGCCAATAAACTTTCCCATTTGTAATTTTGTTTCTAGTTGTGGCTTTTACTTTTCTGCCTAGAGAAATTTCCTTAGCATTTGTTGCAAAGCTGGTTTGGTGGTGCTGAATTATCTCAGCTTCTGCTTGTCTGTAAAGCTTTTGGTTTCTTCATCACGTGTGAACAAGAGTTTTGCTGGGTAGACTGTTCTTGGTTGTAGGTTTTCCCCTTTCATTACTTTAAATATATCATGCCACTCCCTTCTGGCCTGCAGAGTTTCTGCCAGAAATATCAGTTGATAACCTTATGGTGATTTGCTTGTATGTTATTTTTTGCTTTTCTCTTGTTGCTTTTAATATTTTCTCTTTGTATTTCATTTTTCCCAATTTGACTAATATGTGTCTCAGAGTGTTCCTCTTTGAGTTTATCCTGTATGGGACTGTCTTCACTTTCTGGACTTGAGCAACTGTTTCCTATCACACATTAAGGGTGTTTTCAGCTATTATCTCTTCAGATATTTTCTCAGGCTCTTTCTCTCTCTTTTCTTGTTCTGGGACCCCCTATAATACAAATGTTGGTACATTTAATGTTGTCCCAAAAGTCTCTTAAACTGTCCTAATTTTTTTCTTTTTTAAAAAAAATTGAATGTATTTTATTAAGACTAATTCTGAATGGAAAACATAGCTAAAGTAGTGCCTTTGGCATCTTATTTGAAGCTTTCTATTCCATTCTATTCCCTCATCTCCCTCCTTCATTTTATGTCAAGTTACAACTTGGTTTCATGGTGATAAAATCAAAATCTTAGGCTTCTGGGATGTTTTCATGGAGAGTTTTGTTGAAATGGCTCCAATAAAAAAAAAACAGGGAGACTGCCTTGTACTGTGGGCCCACTGATGGCATCAACTTTGTACTCGGATGCCAAGTGGACATCTGCCACTTTGGTGTCATAGCCACCTCCAGGACTTGGACTTTGTGAGTTTATGTCCTGGTGTTCACAGCAGCAGATGGTGTTCCAGGGGTCACCCTTCCTGTAAGGATCTTCCTTGTAATGTGGATTCTTTATCCACGGGGAAGAAAAGGACTTTTCAAGAATGATTCTTGAGAAATGTGCTACATACTATTATATTGCATGATATATTTCATGGATTCCATATCAGTCACTTTTCCTTGGTCACACTAGAAGACTTTAGTTCATGAAGACAGATGGTAAGAGTAGTCCAAACCCACCTTCTTAACCAGCGTTGGATAGTCACTCCAGTTGTAGACTTTTTCATGGAAAGGAATGTTGTAGGAGGGCCAATATCCTCTCCGCAGAGCATTAGTTTTAAACTGTCCTTATTTTGTTTTTGTTCTTTTGTTCCATGGCAGTGATTTCTACCATTCTGTCTTCCAGCTCACCTGTCTGTTCTTCTGCCTCATTTATTCTGGTACTGATTCCTTCTAGTGCCTTTTTCATTTTAGTTACTGTATTGTTTAACTCTGTTCTTTATACCTTCTAGCTGTTTGTTAAACATTACCTGTATCTTCTTGATCTGTGCCTCCATTCTTTTCTGAGATTTTGAATCATCTTTACCCAACATTACTCTGATTTTTTTTTTTTTTTTTGCTAGATTGCCTACCTTCACTTCACTTAGGTGTTCTCCTGGGGTTTTGTCTTGTTCCTTTGTTTGGAACATATTTCTCTGCTGTCTCATGTTGTCTAAGTTTCCATGTTTGTGGTCTCCTTTCCACAGGCAGCAGGATTATAGTTCTTTTTGCTTCTGATATCTGCCACCTAGTGGGTGAGGTTGGTCCAGGAGATTGTTCAGGCATCCTGGTGGGAGAGACTGGTGCCTGCCTAGTGGTGGGTGGACCTGGATCTTGCCCCTCTGGTGGGCAGAGCTAGGTCAAGGGGTATGTTTAGAGGCATCAGTGGACTCCAGCTGACTTTATTCAGCCTGTCTGTTGATGGGTAGTGTTGTGTTCCTATCCTCCTGTTCGTTGTTTATCCTGAGGCATCCCAGCACTGGAGCCTATAGGCTGTTGGGTGGGGCCAGGTCTCCGTGCCAAAGTGGCAACCTCCTGGAGAGCTTACATTGTTGAATATTCCCTGGAGCTTCTGCCACCAGTGCCCATGTCCCTACAGAGAGCCAGAATACCCTCCAAGACCTGCAGGTAGGTCTGGCCCAGGTTTCTATGGAGTCATTGCTCTGGCCTAGGTCCCAGTGCTCATGGAACTTTGTGTGCACCCTCTAAAACTGGAGTCTCTCTTTCTCCCAGCCCTGTGGAACTCCTACACTCAAACCCTGCTGGCCTTCAAAGCCAAATGCTCCAGTAGCTCCTCCTTCCTATTACAGATCCCCAGGCTGGGAAGCCTGGTGTGGGACTCAGAATTCTCCTGTGGGAGAACTGCTGCAGTATATTTTCCTGTTTGAGGGCAGCCCACCCAGCAGGTATGGGATTTGATTATATCATGAAAGCACCCCTCCTACTCTCTAATTGTGTTTTCTTTGTCTTTGGATGCAGAATATCTATTTTGGTAGGTGCCAGTGTTTTTTGTTGATGATTGTTTAGCAGTTAGTTGTGATTTTAGTGTTTTCACAAGAAGAGGTGAGCTCATCCTTCTACTCTGCCATCTTGTCCTGCACTCCTCCTCATTTATTCCATTTTGTGAGAATAATCACATAGCTCACTGCAGAAGTAATGTGTTTGGTTAAGGCCTGTGGCTCTGATGCAGCTGGATGTATGTATCATATGGTATATGCATCCTATTACCTTGATAAAAACTGAAACAAATTCTATCTTTTTAAACACATTTGACATCAATATTTTTAGATGAGCAATTATAGTCTTACAAAATATTTCTTAGATTTCTTCCTCCCCCAGTACATAGAGAAAGGCTATGGGTGGTGAGTGCAAGTAAAAAATCAAGTAGAACTTGAGAAGTCCAATTAGTTATGATCTCTCATCTATCCCTCTCGTTCTTTTTTTTTTAATTTTAAAAATGCATTTACTTTTGACTGTACTGGGTCTTATTGCTGCACAGGCTTTTCTGTAGTTGGGATGGATGGGCTTCTCATTGTGGTGGCTTCTCTTGCTGCAAAGCACAGGCTCTAGGCATTTGGGCCCCAAAGTTGTAGTTCCCAGGCTCCAGAGCACAGGCTCAGTAGTTGTGGCCCATGGGCTTAGCTGCTTCACAGCATGTGGGATCTTCCTGGACCAGGAATTGAACTCATGTCTTCTGTGTTAGCAGGCAGATTCTTTACCACTGAGCCACCAGGGAAGCCCTATCCCTCCCCATTCTTAAGTGTTGCCCAAAGGCCTGATGCCTTCTTCTTCCTCTCCCCTTTGATTCCTGAATGTGGAGGTCATCACCTCTTCTCCCTCAGTCTGTGCACTTCTCCAGCTTAGTATTGATCTTCTGCCTTGAAATACTCTGCTGTCTAGCCTCCAGGACTAAGGTTAATAAGGAGGAGAAATATTAGGTTTAACTTCATCTGCCAATCATGCGCCCTCTAGGTGGATAAGGGTCATTTGAGTCTCAAGGAAACTCCAGGCTGGAGTGTGTACCATCTTAATATGTGAGAGTCCTCGTCCAGGAAAAGTGACATCCCCATCACAGCAGGGGATATAATGGTTCTAAGCAGGTTCTAAGCCACAATATTCCTGGGATTCTGAGATTACAGTGGGGTCCTTGGCAGAAAGGAACGTCACAGAAGAGTGTTCTGACAGATGCTTGGAAACACTTGGAGCAATGCCACCAGACCTCTGTCTCTCTTTTCAGCTTACACCTGGGATGCCTGTCACCAAGTCCCTTTGAGCAGTGACTTGAGCCACCTGGTGGCAGAGATCCGAGCTTTGCGAGGGCAGCTGGAGCAGAGCATTCAGGTGAACAACTCTCTGCGACTGCAGCTGGAACAGCAGTTGGATGGTGGTGCCAGCAAAGCCAACCTCATCTCCTCCTCCGTTAACCAGAAATTCCCCACCAACACTGACCCTGGAAACAAGCAGCCGTTCTTCCAAGGTAGGAAGGAAAAGGGAACCATGAAGCCCTCAGCCAATGGGAAGGTCCCCAGGATGTGTGTGGTGGAAGGGACAATATTGCCTCTTTCACACTCCTTAGGGTCAGGGTGAAGTCAAAGATGCTTCAGTACAGCACCGTGAGGGCATGGAGTTTAGGGTCAGATCTGGCTCCAGATTCTGAGTTTGCCACTTACATGTTGTTTGCCTTAGGAAGAGTGTTAAAACTCCTCAAGTATTTAAGCTTTAGCTTCCTCATCTTTAACATGAGGATAATAATAATATCAACTATCATGTGGAGCATTAAATAATTTACAAGTGCCTGACACCATGAGAAGTACTCAAAACAGTTAACAGCTATATGTGTTAATGCCTATTCCTTATGTTTGTGGAGTGTTTTAAAATTTACCATGTTTTCAAATAATTTTTCAAATAATTTCATCAGAGCTAGTGCAGGATTTACTATCTGTATTTCACATGAGAAAATACAGGCGCCGGGACAATTAACGGATACGCTGAGGCTTGCGGGCGTTAACAGGCCAACCGGGGATTCAAAGCAGAAGCTTTGGTTTGCTGTGTTCCTTCTCCCTCATGATGCTCTGTTCCCTCTTCTCTTCCCTCTCGGGCTTTGCCTCTCAGTGCCTCCCCATAGCACCAGCCAGGACTCATCCCTGCTGGCTCAGTCACTCCTCATCATACAGAGAGAGGCCTGAGCTAGAAATCCAGTTCTAAGCCACATTTGCCTGAGTAGGATCATATCAATCTCTTCATGATATTTTCCAGATTGCGGTCTGGTCTCCAATAGGGCATCTTAAACTCACCAAGGCTTATGTCTCCTATTCTTCTTATACTAGTGCATATTTTCTAGTACTGACTCATCAGAATGGTGATTAGAGTGCAGAGTTAAATCCCCATAAATCCATTCACTTCTTGATCAAATATTTTAACATATGTACTGCATATATTTATGCATATTTATATTTAGTTACAAAGCATTGCATTAGACACACTGCATACAATATTATATTCAAATCTGGGATTAGAAAAATACACCTAATAATTTTTTCAAACTATAAGTTTTTTTTCTCATGGAACAGCCTTCACATCTTATTTCGAAATAAGTGATTAGTTTGTTATTGCTTTTGATTGTGGTACATGGGTGATGACTAAATGAGAGGAGAGTCATGGTGCCTTAGATCTCCAGTGGAGTGGTGTGTTCCAGGGTTCCAAAGCTGTGGTTGTCTTTACTTCCTAGATTCGGTTGCCTCCCCTCCAGTTCGGGATGTGGGCATGAATTCTCCAGTTCTGGTCTTCTCCAGCTCTTCTGCGGCTCCTGGTCCAGAGACCACAACCTTCAGTAGGACAAATGGTAAAGAGGGCAACCACAGAACTCAGGGTCTAATGATGGAAAATTATTAATACAAGTAACTTTTGGTTCTCTGTATACACATTGTCTGAATTTTGAGATTTTTCTCTGCATGTCCCAAGGTCTTTAGCCCTATCATTCCACCTCCTGTGGCTGCCTTTTTTGTCACTACTCTTCCGCCTATGGTTTTCCTATTGCTCTGGTATTGCTTCACTGTACTGTAACCTCTTCCTTCTTGAAAGTGCTCTCTGTATCCAGCTTAATTTCCTTGTCTGTGTCTTCTCAACCCCCAAATTTAAAAAAAATTAATGTCTGTCCTGAATGTTTGTCAGTGTCAGTAAGGATAAAATTTACCTCCTGGCAATTTTATGATTATGAGATGCTAAGAGAAAGACTATGATAATATAGAACCCAGAATATGTATGGACATCACAAATGTGCTTTCCAAAACTGTCGATCTTGTTTCTGGCCTTTTTTACTATTTGATGTCCCTTTTGGATGGAACTGAGGGTGACTATGAATAACAGTGGGTTCTTTTTTGTTGTGGTTTTATTCTTCAGAGCTGAGTTTGGATGCTTCTCCAGTAATGAAGAACCCTCCCAAGCTGGAAGGTGATGCTACTGATGGCTCCTTTGCCAATAAGCATGGCCGCCACGTCATTGGCCACATTGATGACTATAGTGCCCTGAGAGAGCAGATTGGGGAGGGTAGACTGCTGGTCAAGAAGATAGCATCACTTGTGAGACCCACCTGCAGCTTCTCTGGTCTGGAAGCTCCAGGCATAGAGGTAATCACATTTTAGCTCTTAGGTGCACCTTTTCCTTAAGCCTTTTTTCTTTTGATTTTGGCTCCTTCTCCCACTATCTTTTTTCCTGCTCCACATCTCTCACAGCTGAGGATGTATCTTCCATTTACATCCAGCTAGGCCTTCTGTCTTCACCAGCTAGTTTCACTACAAGCTTTGTTCTGTTCCAGATGTAGCTGACTCTGTATTTCCCCTGAGAACCACAGAAAAGCATGTGCAGCATTGCCATCCTCATCAGTAGAGCATGTTAGGCATCAACATACTTGCAGTGCTGTTTGGTAGCTTATTATCTGCTAAAGTCACACTGGGATATGATCATTTGTGGGCAGGATAAAATCACTTCATCAGTTGCCTGGGAATTGAGAATATTCACCCATGTGGGCCAGATGTGTGGAAGGGGTGAGGAGGGTGACAGCCTTGGATTTCTCTGCTCACACCGAGCAGGGGAGGAGAGCAGGCCAAAAGGCTTCTCAGAGTCTTTCCCCCGGGAGAGGCCTAGGCACTAGCCGCAGTGCTGTCCGAAATCCAGGAGCTCCCGCACGTGAGAGGGAGGCCCACACCTGAGTCAAATAAAACAGGGGGCTCCAGGCACAGTGCTGGAAGTGCTGTGGGTGTGACGGAGTGAACCCAGAAGTGGCCATTATCCCAGAAGGAAGGCGACAGGTTCATGGGGGTTAGGGCGCCACTAGGGGGTGTGCAGTTCTCTGGGGAGGAGAACATGCCAGGTGAAGGGAAAAGCGCTCAGTCCTTCCAGCTACAAATTGTGCAGCCCATTTGAAGCACAAGGCCTGATTTAGGGAAGGGCAGTAGGGGTGGGGGTATGCAAAAATAGGGATCTTAGACTCCAGAGCACGAAGCAGGACTGAAAGCTAAAAAGTGTGGAATCAAATGAATTCTTACAAAGTGGGAGGTCCTTGCTAAGGTCAGAGAACCTTGGCTTCTAGGTTAGAAAAAAGTCTCACAGGTTCAAGCCAAGCCTGTGGCCGTACCTCGCTCACAAAGGCAGCCGAGGCCTGTGCTCTCAGCCACAGGGATGCCCATGGTACTCCCCCCTTCCCAGGTGATGGGCAGCGAAGGCATCCAGGAGCTGAGGAGCAGCGCCACCGCTCTGCACCAGCGGCTGGAGGAGTCGGCCTCCCTCCTCACCATGTTCTGGCGAGCGGCCTTGCCAAGCTCCCCTAGCCCTGCGCTTGTGGGCCAAGCGGTAAGAAGCCAGCATCCTCTACCGGTTCTGCCCGCAACTAGCCTTCTGCCTCCTTGGCCTGCGGAGCCTGAAGATCGGGAGCCGAATGGGCAGTTGGGACGAAGGGGACTTGAGGGGTGTGTCCCTGGAGGGAGACCTCCCCTCCGTGGTGACCACGCTCTGTGCAGGTCTGAAAACATCCCTCTCCTCCCAGCCTGACGCCCAGGATAAGGAGCCAAACAGGAGAAGAAAAGAACATAGAGGAGGCAGAGACACGAGAGCCCTCCTAACCCACAAATGTTCCATCCCTTTAACTTTCTAAAGTTCAGCTGAGCTGAAGTTCAGGGCCACTTAAAATGTCAACACCTCCTTTTCCATCCTAAGCCCACTCCCACACACTCCCAGGTCCACATAGGCAGACAGGATCACAGAATGTCACCAGGAGTGGACCAGCCCTTTTTACCCACCCACTGAAATCCCAGAAAAATTTCCACTTAAACCTGTGTCTCTGGGTCAAGCCTGTTGAGAGTCAGCCTCCCCCGGTGCCCTCAGATCTCAGGCCACTCTGGTTGATGATCTTGGATTAGGTAGATTTCAAAATCTCTCCGAGGGTTCTCACTCCAGACCAGTATCAATGATAACTTTAGGGGATCCAATGTTGCTAATTCCAAGGAGAAAATATTTTGTCATCCTGAGGTTGGCAGATAGATTTACAGACTTGTAGACCGTCTCAGGCCAGCCCTGTCTCCCCAGGCATGATATTCCTAATGACCAAGGTTTGATGCCCAAGGGATATAACTATGTCAGCACTAAATCAGAGCTCTTACTCACAGCTGGGAGTTCCAGTGTGGCCTGGACTCAGCTTCTCTGCAGCAGCTAGAGTGTGGCCTGTGCTTGTTTGCACAGGGGCTTCCAGGTCCCAGTATTCCCACCTCATGGCCCATCCTGAGCCATCACCTGCTGGAGGATTTTAGAGGCTTTGATGAGGGAAATCTGGCCCAGAAATACTTAACATTGAAGAATCCTATTTGGGGTTGTAGAGAGCCACAAATCACAGGGTGCTTTAGGCCTTCTGACCACTGACAGGGCACCTATTTTTCTTCCCAGGGTGAGTCCTTGAAAAAGGAACTTCTGGAACTGAGAACCAAACTATCCAAACAGGAGAGTCTCCTTCAGAGTACATCTGAGCGTCTGAAGACCGCCAACCAGCAGAAGGAGAGCATGGAACAGTTCATCTTCAGCCAGTGTGGGTGCCCTGAGCCAGGGAATGGGGCAGGAAACAGGGGTGCCTTCCAGGCTCCCCACTTGTGCTGTGAATGGACAGTGACCAGAGAGGCTAGGGGGTGGGGGAGACTGATGTGACATCCCTGAACCTCCTGTGCCACCAGTAATCATAGAGGCAGAGGAGGAGATGTGAGGGGTGGAGGGGAGCAGGAGACCCCAAGCTGAGTGGCCAGAAAGACAAGCTCCAGAACACACATACCCAAGACAGATATGGACTCCGCTAGTAACTTCTGCCTTTGGAAACTGTTTTATTGTTGTTTCAGTGACCAGGACACACGATGTTTTGAAGAAGGCAAGGACTAATTTGGAGGTAAGGAAACCACTGCACTGATCAGAGCAAACTATCACTGTCTGTATCAATGCACAGGTGACTCCTGACCTGCGCTGACCTTCCAAGAGGAACTTTCTGGTCCACCCGTGAGAGCACAGGTCCCCAGAGAGCATCCCTCTAGATTCCATCCCCATCAGTCCTCCCCCCCTAATCAGAAACCTCCCCTGATTCCCAGTTCACTCTCACTTTGTCATCATCTTCTCTCTTGACCCCAATCCTCTCTCCTTTATGCCACGTCAGGACTGGGGAGAAATGTAGTTCAGTTGATTCTCAAGATCAGAGGACATCTGGGGTCTGCCTCTGAATGAGCTTTCCAGTAAAGGAATCCTGAGGCCAGTCATGGGTTCTGGGGTTCCTGTGTCACTATATGAAAAAATGATGGAAAGATGCCACCTAACAAGTTGATTTCACTGCACACTATTGGGCTGAAAGCAGCAATTTGATTTCTACATATTTTTCTTTAGGAAACAACACAAAAGAAAATCATTGGGTTTTATTGATCTAAAAGAGAACTTGGAAATAAGGAAAAGCTGAAACTTAAAGGGAAAGATTTTCTATAAGGCAGGCATTCTCTATGTTTATTTAAAATACCAATGCATTCTCTAGCAGCCACTTTGAAAAAAAACTTGAGGTGTTAGAAATGGCTTCAAAGTAAAAAACTAAGCCTTTTACCTTGGACTTTAAAGCTTTGCCATAATCAGTTGAGCCCATTCCTAGGAATGTTCCTAAATTGTAATCTAAAAGGATGTTGACCCCACAGTGTGAAAATGGGTTGGGCCATAATTTAACCCTGATTTTTTTCCTGCTAATTTCTTCTGATTCCTTTCTTTCCTGAGCCTTTTTAGAAGAACTCTTACAAGACTGCTTCTGTAAAGCCTTATTCCTGTCCCAGCAAAGGTAACCCAACAGCCTCTCATACCCGCTGGCTTGGAAGTCTCCTTCCCACTTCTGCTAGGCCACTGGAAATGGACCAGGGCCCAAGTTCTAATCCCAGGCTTGTCACTAACTGGCTGTGTGGCTTTGGCTGGCCCCAGTCTCTGTGAGACCACTGACCCTTATCTGTAACAGGAAGCACTAGACTTAGATGATTTCTGAGGGCCCTGCTGACCTGTGCCCCCCATCTCCTCATCAAGTAAATAGAACATAAACTTAACAAGGGGCCTGCCTCAAAATGTCCTCTCCTTCTTACAGCAGGCCACTTCTACATGTGCCTGTTTCATGCTAAGCATATATTTTCCTGGGAAATGACAAAAGTCATCCTCTTTCTCCCAAGCCAAATGGAGAGTGAGCTGGCCCCTGAAGAGGGAGCCGTAGGGTCTGGCCACCTGGTGTGCAGTGGCTTTGAGCAGAGACCTGACCACAGGTGGTGTGGGAAGCTTTCACTCTAACCTGGGGGCACCAGCTGCTCCTCCAGACCTCAGCGCCTCCCTTCAGCTCATCCTCCTGACAGGCTCTCCCCATGATCCTGGCTTCTGTCACCACTCGGCCCTCTCCAGCCGCAGTGAGCCAGCAGCAGGACCTGATGAAGGACTCTTCCTTCCACTGTGTCACTTTGGTCTCCAGGTGAAACCCCTGAGGGCCCTGCCATGCACTGCAGTCCTGTGACCCTTGCCTTCCAGGAGACATGCAAGCAGCGAAGCTACCAGAGGTCCTTAAAACAGCAGGAAGGATGGGCCTGCACCCCTTCTTCACAGCTCCCTGTCTGCTGAGGAGGATCTGGGCCCTCCTCCACACCTACTGGAGGGTCTGGAAGGAGTCCGAGATATGGCCTCGTGGGCAGGGTGAAAGGCAGAGGGCCTTTCCTGCAGTTGAGGAATAACCAGCCAGGGTCCCCGTGGCTCAGCACTAAGGAAAACATGCCTAGTGAATAGAGGACCTTGTGACACTGCTTCTGAACACCCTGGGGCGTGGGAGCCAGCCACAGACATTTCTTGCCTCATCCCCTGTCCTCAGAGGGTCAGCTCAGGGGAAACAGGACCTGCTTCCCCACACTGGAGCATGTGGTCCCCACATTGGAGCTCCTTGGCAGATCTGAAAGCACAGGCCTGAGCAGCAGTGTGTTGCAGGACAGTGTGGGCAGGGGCCCGACTACCTGACCCAGGACCCATGCAGCTGGGTCACTGTCAGGCTGGGCATCAGTCTACACTGCAGCACCTGAGTTCTTTGAATCCATGTGGTGGGAGTGGTGACTCCCATATGCCATCCCATGCCATCTCATGCTTAGCCTAGACCACCTTCTTATATTCTATTGTGATCTCCAAAAGCTGTACTGACTTTACATATACTGTCCCCTTTTGTCATCCCAACTTCTCTCTGGGAACTAGGGACTAATGGCCACAGCAAGCCCACTGAAAGTCTTGTGTAAAGCAAACCGGTGATCACTTTTAAGTGACCTGCAAGAGGCCCCCAGTTGTGCTTGTGCTGAAGCCTAGTCTGTGTCTTCACAAAAGTGCTTTAGAAAGTGTGTATGTGTGTATAAATGTATGATATATATTTATATATGTTGCTATAGTGATATGTGGAAGGCTAACATAACTGGTGGACAGGGTCAGTGAGAGGAAATGACACAGTCTTTTTGGTGGCTATTAAAGCAAACTATGTATCAAAAAAATAGTTTTCTTTGCCTGCTTACTTTCCAATTTCTTATCAGTCTGCAGGGTGAGTGTGTAAGAATAGGAAAGACAAACTCACTAAAAAACTCAGCATCTGAAGGAGAATCAAGATGCTGTAGTGGTTGGTATGGAGATCCCCTCCCCCACAAACACATCAAAAATACATTCACATGTGGGACACTTCTTAATGGAAACTAACTGGAAACTCACATAACTCCTGAAAACCAAAGCTGCAAGAAGGATCTACACATAACTCGGTAGGATGGGGAAGAAAAGAATCAGGTTGGGCCCCGGGCCCCTGGGTGGGATCCGCAAAGAGAAGGTCCACAAGGGTAGACCCTGGCCCTGGAGTTAGCAGGTCAATTCACAATTTGGACATCCCAGTCCTGGGGTCCTGCAAGGAGTGGCCCGGCCCCCTTGCCTCCTGGGCAATCTGAGACAGAAGGATTGGAGAAGTCTAGACTACTCATCAGGAGCACATGCTGGGTTGCTGACAATCAGGGTGGAGAGTCGTGCACTGTGAGCAGCCTCCTTGCTGTATTTCCCAATCCAAAGGGGCCAATGCCCTGACTCCACTCACTCCACACCACAGTCTGGCACAAGATCTTGACAGAGACTCGATCTAGCTTTGCAGAGACAGACCAGGGTACTCCTGGAATAGCCTCAGGTGCCATAGTCAGTAAGGGCTCAGAGCAACAGGGGTAGGTGCAGCAAACGTCAGTGTGTGCAGAGGGCACACAACAGGAGTATGCGAGGGCCAAGGGATGAATCTTGAGCAGACAGACCCTGAGAGAGGACATGACCTAACTAGGCAGAGACAGCCCAGAGGCCCTGGGGTGTGGTCCAGCTGGGGCTTCGATGGCCATCACCAACACACCACACTATGTATGTAGAGGTTTGTCTTCCATTTGAGCACTAGATCTGGGCAGACAGGTCCTGGGTGAGGTCTGCCACAGAGGCAACCCAGATCGCAGGCAGCAGTGCAGCCACAACCCCCCAACCTCCAGCCCCAGCCCACTCCATCAATCCTGAGGAAAAATAACAAAGCTGGAAACATAACCCTCCAAGACTTCAGACAATACTACAAAACAATAGTAATCAAAATTATGTGGTATTAAGACAAAAATATCTTGAAAACTTGTGTATAATGTGAATAAATTGAAATGAAATTTTTAAAAAGACAAAAATAGACATGTGGGTTAATGGAACAAAATAGCCCAGAAATAAACCCACACATCTATGGTCAATTTACCTTTGACAAAGGAGGCAAGAACATACATACAATGGGAAAAAAGACAGTCTCTTCAGCAAGTGGTGTTGGGAAAGTAGGAGAGCTGCATGTAAATCAATGAAATTAGAACACATCCTCTCACCAAATATAAAAATAAACACACAAAAATAAACTCTCACACAAAAATAAACTCAAAATGGCTTAACTACTTAAACATAAGACATGACACCATAAAACTGGAAGAAAACATAAGCAGAACATTCTCTGACATAACGGTGCCAACATTTTCTTAGGTCAGTCTCCCAATAGAAATAAAAACAAAAATAAACAAATGGAACCTAATCAAACTTACAGACTTTCATAGCAAAGTAAACCATGTAGAAAATGAAAAGACAACCTATAGAATGGGAGAAAATACTTTCAAATAATGCAGTCAGGAAGGGCTTAATTTTCAAAATACACAAACACCTCATACAACTCAACAAGAAACAAACAAAAACAACCCAACCCCAAAATGGGCAGAAAACCTAAATAGACATTTCTCCAAAGAAATACAGATGGCCAATAGGCACATGAAGAAGTGCTCAACATGGCTAATTATTAGAGAAATGCAAATCAAAACTAAAATAAGGTACCACCTCACACCACTCAGAATGGCCATCACTAAAATGTCTACCAGTAAAAAAGTCTGGAGAGGGTGTGGAGAAAAGGGAACTCTTCTGCACTCTTGGCAGAAATATAAGTTGGTGCAGCCACAGTGGGAAATAGCATGGAAGTTCCTCAGAAAGCTAAAAATAGAATTGCCATTTGATCCAGCAATCCATTCCTGGGTATGTATCTGGACAAAACCCTAATTCAAAAAGGTAAATGTACCCCTATGTTCATAGCAGCAGTAGTCACAACAGCCAAGACATGGAAAGAACCTAAATGTCCATTGACAGATGAATGGATAAAGAAGATGTGATACACCACACACACACACACACACAGGAATACTACTCAACCATAAAAAAGAACAAAATCAAGCCATTTGAAGCAACATGGATGCAACTAGAGATGATCATACGAAGTGGAGTAAGTCAGAAAGAGAAAGACAAATACCATATGATATCACTTATATGTGGAATCTAAAATATAACACAAATGAACCTATCCATGGAACAGATTCACGGACACAGATAACAGATTGGTGTTGCCAAGGGGGAGAAGACTGAGGGAGCAATGGAATGGAAGGCTGTGGTTAGGAGATGTAAGCTTTTATCTGCAGAATGGATAAACAACGAAGTCCTACTATATAGTCCAGAGAACTATACTCAGTATCCTATGATAAACCATAATGGAAAAAGAATATATATGTATGTATGTATAACTAAGTGACTTTGTTATACAGCAGTAATTTACACAACATTGTAAATCAACTATACTTCAATAAAAGAGGAGGCAATAAAATGCTAACTGAATTAAGAAAAAGTATCAACAGAAATGTAGGTCACTGTAACAAGGACCTAGAAACCATAAATATGAACCAATAAAAAATAGATAATTCAACTGCCAAGACAGAAATATAATCTAGAAACAATGAAGAGCAGACTCAATGACACAGAAGAATGAATAAATGATCTTGAAGACAGCATAATGGAAAGCAAGTCCAAAGAGGAGACAGAAAGACAAAATTTTAAAAAACCACAACTTACAAGACCTATGAGACAACAGAAATCATGCCAGCCTTCACATAATAGAGATTCCAGAAGGAAAAGAAAGAGAAAGGGGGACTGAAAATATATTTGAAGAAATTATGGCTTAAAACTTTTCAAATCTAAGAAGGAAGTAGAAATCCAGGTACAGGAAGCACTGAGGGTCCTAAACAAGATGAACACAAACAGATTTATACCAAGACATATCACACTTCAAATGGCCAAAATTAAAGGTAACAAGAGGATTCTAAATGCAGCAAGAGAAAAAGAAAGAATCAATTAAAATACAATTTCTATAAGCTATCAGCTGATTTCTCTGAAGAAACTTTGCAGGCCAGAAGGAGTGGCATAATACACTTGAAGTCCAGGAAGGGAAAAACCTTCAACCATGGGTCCTATACCCAGCAAAATGATCATTTAGTATAGATGGAGAGATAGAGTTTCTCAGCCAAGTAAAAACTAAAAGAATTCAGCAAGGTTAAACCTAACCCCAAAAGAAATATTAAAGGGTCTTCTCTAAAGAGAAAGGAAACAAGAATCTATAGAAAAGGAGCATCACAGTTGGAAAGGTATACATAAAAGGAGTGAAGATCACTTAAATAAGCCAGTAGAGATTTTAAAAAACAATTAAAAAATTGTCAAAGCAATTATAAATACAAATAGCAGTAAGAAGATAAACATGAAGATATAAAATAGGGCGAAGTCACAAAATGTGGGGAAGGGGATTATAAAAATGTAGATCTTTTAGAATGTGTTTGCACTAGTATGACTTCCAATTTAAAGCAAGTAGATATAAATTATGAGTCAACATACTTGAAAACAAGGGTCAGTGCTTGTTAATGCATATATATGGAATCTGGGAAAATGGTACTGATGAACCTATTTTCAGAGCAGGAATAGAGATGCAGATGTAAAGAAAGGACTTGTGGACACAGTGGGAGAAGGAGAGGGTGGGGCAAATTGAGAAAGTAGTATTGACATATATACACTACTATATGTAAAACAACTAGTGGGAAGCTGCTATATAACACAGGGAGCCCAGCTTGGTAATCTGTGACAACCTAGATGAATAGGATGAGTCGGGTGGGAAGGAGGTTCAAGATGGAGAGCATATATGTACAGTTATAGCTGATTCACATTGCTGTATGACAGAAACTAACACAACATTGTTAAGCAATTATCATCTAATTAAAAATAAATTTTTAAAATAAAATTTTAAAAAAGAATGAAAACCCTATTTTAAAAAGATAGCTGTACCACAATGTTTACCTGAATGTTCATAGAAGCACTATATACAATAGACAAGACATGAAAACAACCTAAGTGTCCATGGACAGAAGAATGGATAAGGAAGATGTGAAGTTGGCCATGAAAAACAATGAAATATTGCAATTTGCAGCAACACAGATGAACCTAGAGATTATCATACTGAATGAAGCTGAGAAAGACAATTTTATAATATCATTTATATGTGCAATCTAAAAAATAATACAACAAATTTATTCACAAAATAGAAACAGACTTCCATAGAAACAAATTTATGGTTACCAAAGGAGAAATAAGGAGAGAGGTATAAATTAGGAGCTTGGGATTTACAGGTACACACTACTATATATAAAATAGATAAACAACCAGGATTTACCGTATAGCACAGGAAACCATATTCAATACTTTGTAATAATCTATAATGGAAAAGAATCTGAAAAAATAAATATATATATTACTGAATAGTTTTGCTGTATACCTGCAACACAATACTATATAAAAAAACTGCTAAAATTTAAAAAATACATAAAAAGATCAGGTGACAAAGAGGTCCTATCCAGACATGGCAGCACAAAGGCAGCTCCTAAAGGAAGAGTCAGCCCTAGGGACTGATTCAGATAACTGCTTTCTTGGGCATCTGGGCCTGGAACCATCTGTGGGTGGGAGGACAAGAAGAGATAACAGCCATGAGGAGGAAATGAAGGACCTGGAAGTGTGTGAGAAGAGAAACAAGCAACAGTGAATGACTCTAAGGAAAACAAAGGTGTTTTGAATTATGCTGGAGACAAGAAGGCTGTGATTCTTATCTTC